GGATTCCTTCGGAATTCCTCAGGGCAGACTTCTTTAGGGCACACGAACAAGTCTGGAGGACATCCCGAGGATTCGAACACATACCACATGTATTCAGAAAGATTCCTTCATATTCGGGTGTCCTTCGATTCCTTTCTTCTGGGTTTCCCTCAGGCGTCCCTGAGATTGCCGCACGGATTCCTTAGGAATCCTTGGGGTATGTCTGGATCCGTGCGGATTCACGAGGGATACCCCAGGGACCTTTAAGGAGGAGTCCCTGGGGAGTCCTTGGGATTTGTTGGGTGTCCTTAGGATTCTTGAAGGGTCCTTCGGATTCCCTATGGCTTCCTTTTCGTTCCTGAGTGGTCCCCTAGTGATTCCTGAATGCAGGATCCCTTGGGGTTCCTTCGGATTCCTTTGGGTTCCGTAGGACCCCTTAAGGATCACCCAAGGATCCCCGCGAGATTCTTTAGAATTCTTTCGGATTCCCTGCGGGTCCTTGGGACTTCATTTGGATTCCGGAGGATTTCCTCGGATGCCACAGGGGCTCCCCCAAGGATTCTTAGGATTCCTTCGGGATCCTTCAGGATTCCCTAAGGATTCGCTGGGATGCCTTATGAGTCCCTGAGGGATCCCTTAGGATAGGATTCCTTGGGTTCCACTGTGAAGCCCTGCTTCCTTAGGATTCATGTTTTTCCATGCTTGGTTTCCCGGCGGAGTTGGGAGTGTCTATTTCTGGGCTTGGCCAAGGATCGGGCGCGCGCCGAATCTACCAGTAGATGTTTGTTCGAACCAGTTTCTAGTTGTTCTGGGGGAGTCTCTATTTCAATTTTACAGGAATTCCTATGCGCTCTCATTCTAAAGCCAGAAGCGTGTCGATCAGCGTTGATCTACCAACCGAAGAGAAACTCCGTATCTACGGTTGTAAGCAGTACACAAACACATACATACATTTATACCGATGTGTGTATAGATGTGTGTGCATATGTATGTCTATATGTATAAATGTATGTGGATACATATATTTATATATATATATATATATATATACACATGTTACGCGCCTAGGTTCGTTTTTTGCCACACTTTGTATGTTGTGCGCTCCGACCCTCATGCGCTGTGGCTTCGCTACAGCAGGCGGGCACCCAAGACGGGCACTGCCAGTATCTGCTCTTTTGCCTGCCAGGGTCGAGCCCCGCGCGGGGCCACAACCAGTTATAATGGCCGGGGGCACAAAGCCACCCCTCGGAGGGCCTAGGGTCGCCGAAGCACCGCCCCAAGACGCCCAAGGTGGCCTCCAGACGGCCAAGATGGGTGCCTCCAAGACGCCCCAAGAGGCTTCGAAGAGGCCTCCCAGGAGGGCCCCAAGAGGCCAACATTTGTGATTTTTACACACGCTTATATAATAACAAGAGTAATGAACATGGTAATGGTAATACTAATACCAATACGAATAATCATAACAAAGAATTAGCCTGGCGAAGGACCCAACCATATGCAGTTGTGAATGCCGCAATTGTGCTGGGTGGTGGCGGACGCATGCGGGCGGTGCCACTGGGACCTTCGGTGGAGCTCCCTATGGGGCCACGAAGCGCTGTACTGGGTGGGTGAGACGCGGTCAGCAAGGGCTGTGCTGCGTGGTGGCGGACGCATGCGAGCGGTGCCACTGGGACCTTTGGTGGAGCTCCCTATAGGGCTACGAAGCGCTGTTCTGGGTGGGTGAAGCGCAGGGAACAAGGGCTGTGCTGGGTGGTGGCGGACGCATGCGGGCGGTGCCGCTGGGACCTTTGGTGGAGCTCCCTATAGGGCCACGAAACGCTGTACTGGGTGGGTGAAACGCAGGCAGGGAGCAAGGGCTGCGCAGGGTGGTGGCGGACGCATGCGGGCGGTGCCGCTGTGACCTTTGGTGGAGCTCCCTATAGGGCTACGAAGCGCTGTTCTGGGTGGGTGAAGCGCAGGGAACAAGGGCTGTGCTGGGTGGTGGCGGACGCAAGCGGGCAGTGCCACTGGGACCTTTGGTGGAGCCCCCTATGGGGCCACGAAACGTGCGAGGGGTGTGCCAGAATGGGGTGTGGAACCGCATGCCAGCGCAGCCACTGGGGCCTTCGGTGGAGCTCCCTATGGAGCCACGAAGCGTGTGAGGGGTGTGCCGAAATGGGGGGTGGAACCGCATGCGAGCGCAGCCACTGCGACGTTCGGTGGAGCTCCCTATGGGGCCACGAGACGTGTGAAGGGCGTGCCGAAAAAGGGAATGGAACCGCATGCGAGCGCAGCCACTGGGGCCTTCGGTGGAGCTCCCTATGGGGCCACGAACCGTGTGAGGGGTGTGCCGAAATGGGGGGGGGGAACCACATGCGAGCGCAGCCACTGGGGCGTTCGGTGGAGCTCCCCATGGAGCCACCCACGAAGCGTGTGAGGGGTGTGCCGAATGGGGGGTGGAACCGCATGCGAGCGCAGCCACTGGAGCGTTCGGTGGAGCTCCCTATGGGGCCACGAAACGTGTGAGGGGTGTGCCAGAATGGGGGGTGGAACCGCATGCGGGCGCAGCCACTGGGGCCTTCGGTGGAGCTCCCTATGGGGCCACGAAACGTGTGAGGGGTGTGCCAGAATGGGGGGTGGAACCGCATGCGGGCGCAGCCACTGGGGCCTTCGGTGGAGCTCCCTATGGGGCCACGAAACGTGTGAGGGGTGTGCCAGAATGGGGGGTGGAACCGCATGCGGGCGCAGCCACTGGGGCCTTCGGTGGAGCTCCCTATGGGGCCACGAAACGTGTGAGGGGTGTGCCAGAATGGGGGGTGGAACCGCATGCGGGCGCAGCCACTGGGGCCTTCGGTGGAGCTCCCTATGGGGCCACGAAACGTGTGAGGGGTGTGCCAGAATGGGGGGTGGAACCGCATGCGGGCGCAGCCACTGGGGCCTTCGGTGGAGCTCCCTATGGGGCCACGAAACGTGTGAGGGGTGTGCCAGAATGGGGGGTGGAACCGCATGCGGGCGCAGCCACTGGGGCCTTCGGTGGAGCTCCCTATGGGGCCACGAAACGTGTGAGGGGTGTGCCAGAATGGGGGGTGGAACCATGCGGGCGCAGCCACTGGGGCCTTCGGTGGAGCG